CCATTTATTCATCATTTATTTTATCTTATTAAAAAAAAAACAAAATATAGCAAAAGATGCAGCGTGAAAAGCTCTACAATTTACATAAGGTCACTTTTCTTGCAGTTGCATCTTTTGCTTTCAAGGTAGTTAAGACTTTGAGTGGCCAGATTTCGATGCTGCGAAAAAGTCGTTTTTTAATAAATAATCAAAATGTTTTTCGCTTATTTCCCATTTAATGTTTTATTTAAAAAAAAGTAAAATATACTAAAAGATGCAGCTTGAAAAGCTCTACAGTTTACATGAGACCGTCTTTTCCATAGTTGTAGTTTTTCTCTTCAAAATCTAATAATCGATCAAATTTCAGCCGTGCGGAAACGATGTTTTTCTATTCAAAATATATTCTTTTTTTCCTCATTTCGCCTTTTTATCATCTGAGATCTCTTATTTAAAAAAAAATAAAATATTTCACTAGATTCAGCATGGAAAACTCTACACTTTACATATTTAAACTCATTGTATTTCTTTAAAAAAAAAGGTAAGATTCTCTGCTACCAATTTTCGCACCGTTGAAATTTGACCGCTGTAAACTTTGTCCGTTTTGAAAACAAGAAGTACAATTGTAAGAAAAGTAGTCTTATGTAAATTGTAGAGCTTTCACGTTGCATCTTGTGCTATATTTTGTTTTTTTTAATAAGATAAAATAAATGATGAATAAATGGGTTGCAAAAAGCGTACATTTATTCTGGGGCACCCGTTAGTTGAGAAAGAAACGTTTTTCAAGAAAGAGGAAAACAAATGAAAAAATATTACACTACTATATGAAAAGATTCAGTAAGCAAAAAAGAAATAAAAGAAAAAAATATTAAATATATATAAACATATAGGGGAAAAGGAAGCGATTGTCGCAAACGAGAAAAGAAATAAAATAATACTACGCCACTATATTGGAAACATATAGTAAACAAAAAGACAAACAAATTGAACTATATATCGAAACATATAGTTGGAAAAGAAGCGATTTTCGAAAAACAGAAAACAAACAAAATTAAAGTCTAATACGATGTGCCGAAAAACATAGGGAGAAAAAAACGATTGGGAAAAGCACACGCAATAGAATAAAGGAAAATAACTATATCTCGAAATAGATAGTTGGAAGAAAAATGTTTCTCGAAAAAGAGAAAACAAATCAAATAAAGCTGTAGCGTCGTATGAAACCATATAACTATAAGTAACGAGTATTAGAAAGAGACAGAATGAGTAAAGAGAAAACTAAGCCACTATATGTTGAAACATATGGTTCAAAAGAGAAGTAAGTTAGGAAAGTGAAATTTGAAAAAGACTTAAAACATATTTGAGTATATGTAAAAATATATAATAGAAAATGAAAGAAAGTTGATGATATTTCAAAAACAAGTGAGCAATCCTTTAAATATTTTATGGAGAGGTGATTAAGAGAAGAATTGGTATGGCTATTCGTAAATTAATGATAAGGATTCTATTAGAATGGAAGATAGTTATGATTGTGATATTTTGTTCGTATTATCATAAGTGTTCTCACGTGGAGTAGCCTAGAGGTAAAGACGCCATCTTGTTGAAAGGTGGTGGTCTTTTATGTTCTTATTAGAAGGGAGCGTGTACTAGTCTATGATTTTAATGAAAAGTTGAACGATTTACCGGCCAATTTAGCCATGTTGATAGGATCTAATCCTGGTCGTGTGTATAATGGATTTGAAATAAAAATGGAATTGGCGAGCTCGTTCGACGTAAAAAGCAATCACAGTATAGTTCGAGCATATTTTTTTGTAATCAGCTGTCTGCTAAGCAGTTAACAAATTGATGCCATTATGATTCTGTTAGGATCATCCGTAACTCATTCCAGTTAGTGTGGAAAAATTCAGAATAACTTACTACTACTTTTGGAAAGACATGAGAAGTGCTTTGATATTGTACTAGAGTAGGATTGAGCTAGTGAAATGAAAAACATTAGGAAAGGGTATGGGTGGGGTATGAGTGTAGATGTAGGTGGATGTGTGGGTGTGAGTGTTGGGTGTGGATGTGGGTGTGGGTGTGGGTTTGTCTCTGTTATATTAATTCACACTCACACTCACACTCAAACCCACACCCACACCCATACTTCAATGACGTCGAAAATTGCTATCTACCGCATAATTCTATTTATTATTCATACTGCGTCATGATACAAAGAGTTCGATGAATCAATTGTCAAAGAAGAAAAGGGCAGCAACAGACCATATATGATCATATATGGCTAGACAAGATCCGCACTACATACTATTGTATGACTGTTTTGCTTTGGATTCTGTTCTGATCTGATAGGATCTGACAAGGTCATTCAATCGGATCATGTGCGTTTCTTAAGCTCAGAATCTTGTAAGATTTGTGCTGACATCTTACATTCAGAATCTGACAAAATCTTGCAAAAAATCAACCTATACGATCTTGCCGAGTCTTGTTATAAGATCGTATAAAAAATCTTGTATGTGTAAGATCTGATAAGATCTGTCACGATCTGACGTCAGATTTTTTGACCTGGGTTATTTTATGATCTGATGCATTTTATGATAATAATATGCTTGAAAAGTAACCAAAATTAATCTCTCCAACTCAGTTATACAATCCACATGAAATAGATAATTTTATCAAATCGAAACCATGTATTAGTTTTTTAATATGTAAGGCGTGTTTTTAGAAAAAATGAACTACTCAAGACTATAAAAAAAATCTTGTTTTTTTTTTATCAACAAGCTTTCCAAATCAAAAAAATAATATAATGCATATTTTTGTTCAGCTCGACGACCTCTATTTTACCATGTATAAGCAAACAAAAAAAAACTTGCCCGAATTTGCATTTTTTTGAACCATACACTGAATGAATATGATGTAATGTCAGTTGAATATGGAACCAATATTTGTCCTTCATTAAAGAAAAATAGTTAAATTAAAGATAAATGAATCAAAACCAGTATATTTTGATTCAATAAAGATAATTCAACAAAAACTAATTATAAACAAGATATCAAAAGTGCAAACCATAATATTGTGTGAGTTATTGTTAATAATGCCATAGGCAACACCGACATTTCTTTAATTGTGTTCCTTTTTTGGAATCTGTGTTTATTTTTATTTTTTTATTTTGGGTTTTAAATCGTAATACAGAGTCTTAATGGGTGTTCATATATCTTAATAAATAACGCAAAATGCATCGATGAATTAATTCTTCCTTTGTTGAATTATTTTACCCTTGTAAGCGCAACATCAGATGATTGCTGAAAAAGCCAGAGTTGAAGTCAGCAGATTGATTTCTACGATTGATATACAAGTTAGTCTATTTTTCGTTTGAATATGAATGTTTACTTTTGATGCAATGAACCTAATGTGCACTCTAAAACTGGAATTTTTATATCAATTAAAATTAGATATCGTTCCTAAACGACTGACATCGAAAAACAATCAAACAAATAAAAATCGTTCAAACTTGAATATATTAGTTAACGAATGCTCGTAAGTATTGTTTCATTGTTTTTTGTATTATCATGTTTGATATTGTAACATAGTTCTGATGAGTTGTGTTTATCTTTCAATAAAATAACATGACGTGTCTTGACAAATTGAATTCTGAATTTTTTTAACACTTCTAATCAAAGCAAACAATTATATCATTCTACTGTTATTTCATTTTCGACTTCAGAAATTTATCCGCAATCCAAAATATATATTTTATTGAGAAAAGAAAAACAATTAGTAATAGAGATAATGTGTGAAAAAAAACCTACGATACAAATTTTACCATGGCTTCTATGCCCATAGACATGAAAACTAAAAGCAAGCTATTTCTAAAGTATGCATGGATAAGTGAAGATAAAAAGAAAACATGTTGAAAGTTTTATTGAGTTCGACTACGCTTAACTTTTAATGCACTTGAACTTTTGGATGCGATTATTGCGTCTGTCGGCCACGTACAAATTTCCTTGATCGTCCAGTATAACGGCAGAGGGAAAATTTAATGACGAAGGAGCAGCGTTGGCTCGATTGTTTCCTCCTGCAATGGTTCTACCAATGGTTCCACCAGCACTAAAAAACTGTATACGATTATTGTTCCGATCAGCTACATACATATTTCCCATGTTATCAAACGTTATGTCAAGAGGATTACGCAGTAATGTTGATGAAGAACCAGCCTTTCCATTTTTATCACCAGCAAGAAGTGTCCATGCATTGGCTCCTATAGGCCAACGAACAATATTGTTAGCTCCAGTGTTAGCGACGACTACACTGTTTGATGTTGAGTCGTAATAGATACCGCTCGGCAACCACAACTGATTAGTGGCAGTTCCTGCTCTTTTACCTCCAGCAACCACAACACCATTTATTGCACCTGGTGTGTATTTCATCACACGATGATTGGAAAAATCACTGATGTAAATTGTGCCTGATTTATCATCCAATGCGATACTAGATGGAAACATGAATTGATCAAGTCTTCTTCCAGATCCTCCTGAAAACACGCACATATTTCAACAAAACACAACAATATTTGATGAAGCTTTTCGAATAATTTCTTTCCCAACACTTGATTTTATTTAAGGAAATAGTAACGGTGCATCTTAGACTGAGTTTTTTGAGCACTGAAGAAAACTTGAGCAGAGCTCGATCACAGATTGAGCTGCTATGGGTAATGGTAGAGACTCACTGGACAATTATTGCCTCCGAACTGATCTATCAAGCATTATGAACAATCAGATATTTTTTTCTTAGCATTGAAATATATTTATTTGCGCATCAAAGCTACATCCTCTTAATCTATCGTACCGAAACTAAAGTGAATATCTGTTGTAGAACTATGAGCCTGTGTTTCATATACAAGAAAGCACAAATACTACCACCGATTATGGTAATTGCCCGTAAAAGTTTACACAATAATAATGTACAAGAAAGCTGAGTGACAATAGAACTTACTTTGTATATACATGTATATATGTTAATTAATTAGTGTGTGTTATATAACAACCGAAGACTTCTGCAGAACTTAGTAGCTAAACAATTCTATATACATAGCTCAAACCTTTGATGAAATATGCAGTAAAACGATTGTCCGAGAATATTGTACTCTTGAGAACCTATGATATCCAGATTGGTACTATATGATTTTTGAAAAAGTGAGACTCACAGTAAAATGGTTACTAATGTGCCAAAAGTCGATAAAATCGATTGAGATTGTGTGTGCTTAAAGCTCTGTTGACTAGACGCATGCTGATGGGTAAAACAGCCAAGATTTTTGTAACTTCTACAAAAGACCATAGTTGCAGTGTGAATGACATGAAGTGTCAAGTTTCATGAGATATCAAAATATTCAGACTACAGTTTGTGTCATCAATCAGAGTGCACTAAGAAAAGTATTCTTGTAAAGATTCGGCTAATAAGACCTTAAGAAACTTGAGTTTTAGTATAATGGATACTTTTTAGCGACACTGCAAAAATTTGAGTACCTAGAGAAGAAGGTTGTTTTTTGACTACAGCTCTTAAAGTATACTCTAATAGTGATATGGCTTGAATGCAGAAACCACACTTGCAATTGAAAATGCTTCATTCTATGTTCCCGTAGATGTCATTCAAGATATATTAAAATCTAGTAAATTGCTGATGACTCAACTTCAACTGTCCATGAACACGAATATTTTAAGGCATCTGCCCATAACATTGACGTCTATATTCTATAGATTTGACGTTAGGAAAAATGGCTCAACTACTTGTCTTAGTTCTTCTTTTCAATTTAACTGAAATTTTTTTCGATTATCTACTTGATTTAGTTTAATTTCAAACGGCTTTTAACGAGAATCATACAATTTATTCATTAGCAGAATAACAAAACGAGACTAATTTTTCTCGATCAAATAGAAAATCATCATTTTTACCGAAACGATATAGAATATAAAATATTGCATAGAAATCATCTATGAATCGGCATCACTCTCAACTATGTGCGTTTTTTCATGATAAATCGACGATTTCGAAGTTCTGTACGATTAATCACGAAAAATACTGCGATCTCTTAGGCTAAAGTGGCCGAAGATATCATGTAAATCTCAAGCTGTCCTACCTTTGCCAGCAATCGTCGTGCCCGCAGCTGCTCCGGATAGCCAAGATTGAACCCGATGATTCCGGCTATCTACCACATCGATATTACTACTTGGGTCGACAACGATACCCGTAGGACCACTCAGCTGATCGGAATTACGTCCTGCTACTCCATTTTTTTTACCAGCAACTGTCGTACCAGTGGCAGCACCTAACAACCATTTTTGAACTCTGTTATTGCCGTAATCAGCGATAAAGAGAGTATTGGATGAGTCCAAAAATATATCACGAGGAGCATTGAGCCGATTGGATGTAATACCAGCAACACCTCTAGCATCACCTGCTACAGTCATACCAATAGAATCCCATTGAAGTGAACAGACAGGAGCTAAAATAACAAATAGAATTTCAAGAGTGTGGGTGTATGCTGAATTTTCGATTGATACTCCTTAAACTGAAAAGATTTGTCAAGCAATATGAGGTTTTTTGCTAGGCTATAGCTCGACGACAGATGGGCAAAACAATCTCAAAATTTTTATTCTACTGCAAAAGAAATATAAGGAAACTCATAAATAGACTGCTAGGCATGACATTGACAAGAAAACACATGAGCGACTACTTAAAAGGTGCCAATTCTCACCCAAAAGGTTGCTCAATTGATGACTTAATAAATATACAAATGTTGAGGCAATGAATACTTTTGGAATATTAGGAACCTCATAAGCTAAGTTATCAAAATTGAAAAGTGAAAATATATGTGACAACGCATAGCAAAATTTATGAAAACTGAAATTTTTTTACCTTTCATTGTAGTTGCAGTTGTAGTTGTAATACTTGTAATATCGAACAATGATAAATCACCAGTATTGATGCAAGGAAATAACATGAATGTAGTGGAGTATCCGTTAGCAAATGTCATTATCACTGGAATACCTGCAGTATATGCATTAATAAGAGCTAGATTATCATGGAGAAATTTGCTTTTGCAAGACTGTGATATGCCACACTTTTTCTGGTAGATTATACGCATTGTAATTTCTACTAATAAGCGAGCAGATTCGATTTGACTACAGCTAGGTCTGAAACAGAGTTACACCAGTGTCAAGAAAGAGTGCATTTTAAAAACATCATGCAGAATGTATACGTACAGGTCACGTTTCTTTCTGTAGAGTTCACGACGGCGACGACCACTACCAGTATTTGTTGTGATACCTCTGATCATAATATTAGTGATTCTTAACGAGCCTGCTGGCAAACCATATGCGATTTCTAACTAAAATTTCGTTCGATTTAATCGATTAAGACAAGTGATAAATAATGAACATAGGATTACTTGTTGAGCTATATTATCAGCATTAATAACTGTCGTATTCTGACCATTGTTGATTATCGTATTTGATACGTAGGTTCGTGTTATGTTGCTAGATTCTACAATATGAAATGAATGATCAAAAAAGGCAATCGTTTCTTATCGCATTTTGCAAAAAAAACAAAGTCATTAGATGAAAGAGTTATTTGAAGACAATTGACGCACCGAAGAAATTGATTTGAAAATCTCAAATAAAACTTAATAGAAAGAGAATACTTACGACTCCATCTATGTATCGTTTTGTGAACTTTCATTCATCTTTAACTTTTGTATTATATATATGAGCCCTACCAAATAACCCATGCTCGAAATTGCTCAACAGATAGTCACAGATTCTCTGAAGTAATGTTGAGACAAGAGATTGATGAATATTCATTTAAACTGTTTGCAAAGTCAAATAAAACTCAGTTAGTTCTAGGTGCTTTCTCGGAAAACTCTATTCCGATCATTGTAACTATTTTTCATTATTCATTTTTACTTTACAACTTCAAATGAGTTCTTTTGGACGAATTTCTATGCTTTATGTCTTTCGATTAATAAAAATTCACCGAACAAAAGTTGGCGAAGGAGAAGACCACAATTGTTACTCGTTCTGATGAAAATTTCAGGATTTTATTTAGCCGTCATTCTCAAAGACATGTCTAGCTAATCTCGATTTTTAATCTAATGTAATTTTTCGAAAAAGTACGTATTAACACTAACCTGCCTTGCGACTGTTGAACATGATGTACAGTTCACATTTGACAATTTTCGTAGTCCGAGCGATTCACAGATCGCTCATAAATTAAACATTCAAAAAAAGACGATTAATGAGGGTTTTGTGGTTGTATATAAGTGTGATTCGAAGTAGTCTTGTCTCATGTGTTAGGTTTCTATAGATAGAATTTAACATGTGACTTTTCACAAATAGTCATAGATGTCTAACCACATCTTAAGTATGTTACACAGGAATTAATTGAAAAGTTGTGATCGCATACTATGTCTAAGTACTATGTCTCACTCGCATACTATGTCTAAGTCTTTCACAATAATGACTTAATAAAAAACATGACCTGCAGATTAGTTGAAGAAAAGAGTTGACAAACCTGTACTGTTATCATATGTGATGTTGTCAGCAGCACTTTTAAGATATACAGGTATCAATGAAAGTATGAGCGCTATCGAAATCCCAAACAAAAGTAGACACATGCATATTCCAGCTGCCAAGGGAAGGCATCCAGCAAGCCAGCCTCTGAAATAAAATGACAAAAATTGTACATCAATTATTGCTTGGTAGTAGAAAGTGATAGCAGCATTAAATATGAGCTAATAAAGTAAGGTCTTCGACTGTTCATGTTTTATTGAAAATTAGAAGCACCTGTTCTACTTCAAAAATGAATATTTCGAAGAAGCATTCCTTCCTACTTAAACTGGTAGGCAATACTAGTAACAATAAGACCTGCTCATGTTCTAAATTTCAGACCAAAAACACAGCATGCGTTCTTGTTAAAAAAGCTTTAAAATAGATCAAGATGTGATTAACATGGTGTTCATGATACAATTTGAAAAGCTCAGACATTCCGTCGCAACTACAGAATTATAAAGTTGCCTTGGACCGATTAAGTAACCACTGTCTTAGTTGAAAATGTGTTCACACTTGAAAATCTTTCCTTATGATCAGTAGCCAATTAGCATATTAGTCATAGTGTTGGTGAATGAAGCGTTGACAAACTTACGACTCTCCATAAGGATCAACATAATTGTTGTTTATTGATCGCATTGACAATTGTTGTGGTATTAATGATTCACTATTGTCAGGAACTCTGAAATCAAAATCGTAAGCTTGTTGATGTGCACAATGTCAAATCTATGATTTTTTTTGGCATCAGATCATTTCCCAGTGGAGGCTCTTTTGAGGACTGAACCATCATGAACAATAGAATGATGCACGGGCTACCACTTTCTCAATATCTTTTCTATGCTTTGCTAGTTCAGGTTATAACAATCTTTTAAAGAATTTCTTCTCAAAGTCTGCCCAAGAGTACATAAAAAATAGTTGATATTCGATAGCAAGTGAGAAAATCAAAATAAAACTGTTTTCAATCTACAGCTTGATGATGTTTCTCGACGGTTTTCTCAAAAGATTCCGACTGTGTTTGATATTTTTAAAAATTGAAGAAATTCGAACACAAGTTATTTGCATAAATCACGGACTGATCTTATTTTGTGGCCAATCGTTAAATCAGTTCGAATGAAGTTTCGTTTTGACTCAAGAAGGAATTTCTTCAAGTGTATCGAAAATTAAGCATAATATTTTAACTTGCACATCTCTTTTATCCTATGATAAATTTTGTGATACAAAATGAATTGAATTGAGTTTGAACTATAAAGCCTTGCAACTCTACAAAATAGTTTGTATATTCTTGTGGTGTCTCGTGATACATTATAACAAATAAACAAGTTCTTCTGCAAAAAAAGTTGGCTATACATATTCGAGCTTCTGAATGTTACTTTTGTTCAATTATTCACAATACCGATAGATATCAGCATAATAATTTTATATATAGACCACTCAACAGCGATGAGGCATCATTAGTTTCAGTGGCATGAAATCCTTTGGTTTACTGAACGTATAAAATACCGCATTCACGCAGAACCTAGGTCGATAATTCAGTGTAGAAAGACTTCCTGTGGAGAGTGAATTTATGGCAGTTGATAATCTTCCGTTTTCATTTCTCATACAATTACGAAATGGTTTTAACACAAGAAAAAAACTAATCGAATAATACAAAAATAACACTACAAGGTTAGTGGTTTTCCTTGCGGATAGGAAAAATCTATCAATTCTCATGAATAAAGAAGTCTCGTTAAGTGTTTCTATTTTTATGAAAACATACCTTTGTTTGATTTATTAATATCAAATCTTGTGTAATTACGATCGCAATGTGACTATAATATATCGATGCCGTTTTAGGAGTGAGAGAAAAGAAAAATATTGTTTATATACGCATCGTGAGATAAATGTGACTTTGCGCATAAATGCTCGAAGGTGAATAAATGGTGCAAGGTTTTTTTGATGAGATAATGCAATTATACGAAACACGATATCGTCCTTTATTTTTTCTCTTCTGTGTCGGTAAAACAGCTGAATCCTTGACAATGGAGAGTCAATCACGTGGCTAGAGAAAATTTGCAATATACAATGCATTCATTACTGATTCTGTTCACAACTAATGCAAATGTGCATTCAGAGCCAGCGAGACAAGTAGTTTTTCAACATGCCCACAATCATCTTCTCTATTCGACATCTAGTTCCATAAACGCTACCGATCAGTGTATAAATTCTAGGGTAGACAGGACCACCGATCTTGCTCTTCACACAAATTATAGTTTCAGAACTCATTCCTGTACTCATACTCGACTCAACTCCAGGAGTGCCGATTGTATCAATCATAGTTTCAGTGGTAGTCTTCTTACCTTAGCGGCAGTGCTCTCTCCGCTTTGGACTTCGCTACTGGTTCTGGTACTTGGTCTTTCGATCAGTGGTGAGCCCCGTAATCATTCAATTTTTCATGAACACTCTGATCCCTGTCTCGGTTTCAGCAGTACTGTTTCCAGCTAACTGTGTTTCATTGGTAGGACTGACCTCTCTTTTCATTTTAGAGATGTTCCTCTTAACCACGCTTGTGGGCTTCAGCTGTCTAGTGTTATTGGTGATCCTGTTGCATCTAGTCTATGCATCAATGGCATTCTCCACTATCCAACATTAATTATACCAATCCAGAATACCACTAACAACCTGAAATCAATATTAAAGACACAAATCGACAACTTAATCAAGGAATGGATTGATGAATTTTGAAACAATCAGGTAATACTCAAGCGCCTTTGAAACAACTGATAACTTGCGTTATATGTATGATATTTCTTCTACTACTATGTATTGACGTCTTAGTACCAATGTTATACAAGTATAATCAGCATCTGTACAAGGATATTTCACGCTTAACTCTAAACAAAACATAATAAATTCAATAGAAAAAGAATTCATCTTGCAGAGCTCGACATGTTCTACTAGAGTCTGTCAATTATATGACTAGGTCCAGTTAAATAAGTTCACTTCACTAAAAATTCATTTTTGGCTTAAACAACTCGAACACTATGTCATTTTGTTTAGTTTCATCTGTCTTTTTGAATGAGTGAAAAAAAGCTAAATGATTCGGCGTGTGGCACTTTTTGGAAGACTTCGAATTTCTTTTACCTGAAAATAATTTTATGTCCAGAAAGTTTCCATAGTCTAAAAATTTGCATTTTTGAATTTTCAATAATATCGAACACGATAAACACACTCTTAGAATTTTTTTCCATGCTATGGCTTTATATAAATTTCA